ATTTTAGCACTCTCCTCGTCAATGTACTTTCTGATTTTGGCGATATTTCTTATGTGATAATGAGAAGACTTGCAAATTGATTTTGTGTTCCTCAAAGTTAAAACACTTATCGAAAATAACGCCAAGATTACGAGCTGAGGATGATGGTACAACTGTCGCGTTGCCAATTTGAAGAGACTCTAAAGAAGGACTGGGACGATATCTTGAGCTGATAAGAACAACTTCAGTCTTGTCTTGACTTAGTTTGAGTTTGTTGATGACCATCCAGTTGTCTATATCACGGACACATTGCTCGATAGTTGATGGATAATTTTTTATGCTATAGATTCGATTGACTCAAAAATAACTCTAACATCTCAGAATTTTAACTAATTTTATTGCTATTATTATTATTACTGATTATTATTATTACTATTAATATTACTATTATTATTATTACCATAATTATTGTTATTGACCATGACCATGATCATGATCATGATTGTGATTATGATTATGATTGTGATTATGATTATGATTATGATTATGATTATGATTATGATTATGATTATGATTATGATTATGATTATGATTATGATTATGATTATGATTATGATTATGATTATGATTATGATAATTATTGTCGTTTTTCCCATAATTTAGCTTTTTAATAATTTTTAATGCAATAAAGTGCCATGGACAATTAGTGGATTTGGCGCTAAACAAATATTTTTATCATTTATTATCACAAAGAGAAAAACGGTAACAAAGTTTGAGATTTAGAGGTTGATTTAAACTTGACTTTACTGTCTCGACTTTCTCTCTCAACTACAAAGCGTGACCACTACGAAGGGTAGCAAAAGGAAAAACCCTGGAAAACACAGTTAGACTCTGTCTTTGAAGAGATTCATCATTCAAAAATAGTCTTTCTTTTTTTTAGTGTCTCCTTCTAAGCCATTACACAATTCGCTTTACTGAATCCACATTTAAAATAATTAGCGCCAACGTTCTCTGCCTTTTTATCTAACAACAGACTCTCGTAAGAACTTTCACTATCAATGTCGTTAATTAACTCTGATAATTGATAGAGAGGCTCCCACGAGCGTTTATTAGTGTCTAACTCTTCAGTAGAAACGAAACACAAGAGCTTTTCACCTCCATTGCAAACTTATTTTCTAAACAATTTTTTTCGCCACTGTGTTGCTAATTGGGGAAACAGTACTAATTTCAGTCAGTCCCTATTTTTCCCTGGTAAATACTCCCGAGCAAAACACGTCTGGGTTGACAGAGTACAAAATCCACTTTGAGTATGGCCTGATTTTAGCAGTTCAGAACAATCTGACGAAAAGAAAGACAAGCTTTTCAGTTTAACTTGGTATTCAGTTATCTAGGTAGACAAAACATTATTCGGAGAAAAGTTACGATCAACCACTATGCAAATGATACAATCGTTCCTATGTCTCTCCCAATTGTACAAAAGACCAGAACTGGACTCAATCTTCTTTCATGATGAACTTTTCTCATTTCCATTGCAATGTGATCCAGCGTAGATGTGCGTTGATTTCCGGCAGAAACAGGAAAATTGCCCGAAGGTACTTCACATTCTGATGCTGGATTAAAATAAAGTGCTTTCTTTTAAAAGAAAATACTACATTTTATAATGATAACATAGTGAGCAGTACCGCACGAACTGCAATTGTAAAACTTGGTTTAATCTCCTACGCCTTTCCGTCTGTTAATAGCAGACTTCATCGGGGAAGGTTTACAAGCTTGCTTATCTACACAACGTTAATATTGACATTTACCCATGGTAGGAGGCAAGTGGAAAGTTTTTGCAAGGGGTAACTTAGGTGTTGTTGTACATGTGCGACATTTTCGAGGGATTACATGTAAAGAGTTGTATTGTTTTGTTTTGTTTGTTTGTTAGCTAGTTAGTTTGTTTGTTTGTTTGTTTGTTTGTTTTTTTTTGGGGGGGGGGGTCCCATGTATTCAGTACTAAATGCTTGCTTTTCTTTTTCATGCATGTAGCGTTGAAGGTTGATCGCTAGTTGCTGGTATACTTTGTATGTTTTATTCGGCAAACAATATCTTTTTTTCACCGCAATGATAGAGAATAGTGTGAATAAGTTTTCTTCTTTCACATTCAGAGCTCACAAGTGGAACTTCGCACTGTTTCCTTTTCATTATAAAACAAGTGCTTAGGGTGCTGGAATTAAATCATGGTAATTCACATTTTGGGTCCAAACAATCTTCACTCCAACGCACGGCTTCTATTACAACAGTTATAATTATGATATCAAAGCTACCATGTAACACGTTAGATACCACTTGCTGTGACCTTTTATGAATTAATTTTTTAGATAGGCTGCAAACTTAACTTGACTTACACTCAGGAGCGCGCGCAATAAAGACTCTGTTTTTATTGGTTCAATTTCAGGTGCTAAATGAAGCGGATTTTGCATTTGTTGGAGTCGAACTGGCGGGGTGATGTTCTCTTTAACATTTACATTGGAACCGGAATTTAAAAAACCTCTATATAGCGAAGTCCTCGGTACAACAATTGATATTTTTCGTCCCGGTAACAGTAAAATGTCCACTCGAACATCACTTATTGCCTCGATATCAAACACTCCTGCACTTGTAGCCACACAAATGTAGTTTCCAGCATCCTTTTTTTTCAAATCTGTTAAGATAAGTGCATTGTTTATACTGTCACTCCTCCCCACAGGCAGTCCTTCTCCTTGTCTTTTCCAGCTGATGACTGGTCTTGGGTCACCAGTAGCGCTGCAGTTTAACGTCAAAGTGTCGCCAGTAGCAGCAAGCACCTTTCCAGGTGGCTTAACGGTAAACACAGGAAGGGAAACCACAACTAAGAGAGTTTTCCTTTCAGCATTTCCTAAAAGGTTGACCGCAGAACAGAAGTATGCGTCAGAGTCACTTTTACGGACATCGGAAATTTGTAAGACACTGTTGTTATAGTGCGCTCTCCCCTTGGGTAACTGACCAGACGACTTCCTCCAGGTAACCACTGGTGCCGGGTATCCGGTCACGTGACATGTTGCTAGGGTGACGTTACCTCCTCCGGTGACGTACATAGGCCCGGGTTGAAGAGAAACTTGAAGATGAGCTGCAACCAATAAAATATAATTAAACCTTGAGTGATTCAGATTTCTTGATTTCTTGATTTTGCTTTTTAAGCGAAAACAGCTTAACTTGGTTGAAATCGATGCTAATCCAACATCGTCTATTGAGTATAATATTTGCTGCAGCAAACTAAAATAGAGGGGGAAAAGACGCTACTCTAGTGGGAAACATTTGTTATGAATGTTCAATTTACAGTACCTTGTACATGAACCGACTTTAGAGAAAGTGTAAAAACCGACGTAAATGTGAAAGTTTAAGTGGTAATGAAAATTTAATTTGTTTCTAAAAAAAAAGCCAACCTTACACTGGTGTTAATGTAACTCTAATAAAACACGGCAAAATTTTCGTAGCCACAGAATTAAAAACGTGATCTGCACAAACTGTAGTGTGTAACTAAACATTGCATTGTAAACCTTATTTCAGAATTTAAAATGGCCAGAAACTCACCATTCACTGCTAATCGCACCACTTCCCGTGAATTCCCCAGGATGTTCGTTGCTGAACACTGATACACGCCTGAGTCACTTCCGGTTACCTTCTTTAACTCCAGCTTTCCTTCTGAAACCGCTGACCGAGTAATTTGTGACTGACTGTTCAGTTTACTCCACGCTACTGCAGGCTCAGGATTACCACTGGCTGAACACTGAAACGAGGCTGTTCCACCTTCGTTCACTGTCAACGTCACAGGAGAAACAACAA